ACCCAAAACTGAAGCGAGTCGCGTGCGCTGCGATAGCCAGCGGCGAGCGATACCGCATGGCGACAGCCGCGGCGAGCCCGAGCCAGCAGGCGAGGGGCCGGAGCGAGCGGTGAGCGCGGCCCACGCATGGAAAGCTTGAACGCGCGTGCCAGCGACAGGCTGGCCTAGAAAGAGAACAACTCTCAACCCTAGGTTCCTGTGAGTTAAGTCTATGCATCCTAAGATTTAGGATTTAGGGTTCAGGGCTTTTGAGGTTTTGGATTCAGGGTTGGCGGCCTTTCAGGGTTTAGGATTCAGGGTTCGGGCACTTACTTAGGGTTTTGGATTTAGGGTTTTTGGCCTTTAGTGTTTAGGAGTTAGGGCTCGGGGCCTTTAGGGTTTAAGATTTAGGGTTCAGGGGCTTTAGGGTTGAAGATTTAGGGTTCAAGGCCCTTAGGGCGTAGGATCTAAGATTCGGGGCCTTTAGGGTTTAGGATTTAGGGTTCGGGGCCTCTAGGGTTTAGGATTTCGGGTTTAGGGCCTTTAGGTTTATGATTTAGGGTTCGGGGCCCTTAGGGTTTAGGATTTAGGGTTTGGGACCTCTAGGGTTTGTCGGGTTTAAGGCCTCTAGAATTTAGGATTAAGGTTTGGGGTCTTGAGGGTTTAGGTTTCTATGTTCGGGGCTGTCAGGATTTAGGATATAGGGTGCGGGGCCTTTAGGGTTTAGGATTTAGGGTTCCGGGCCTTTAGGGATTTGGGATTAAGGATTCGAAGCCTTCATGGTTTCGGACTTAGGAGTTAGGGTTAGGATTGTCGCCCACTTAGCTTCGGCGCTTGTTGCGCCTGCTGCCTTGCCGGCACATTGAGCCGGGACTACAAGGGTCCTCTCTGCCTTTGAGGGCGAGAGGGGTGAAACACCATCCGCTGTTTTGGGCAGCGGACGGGTGAGACGCGTCACTCCGCTAGCGGAGTTGGCAGGGGCCTTATTTAGTTTGTGGATCATTTCTCCCTTTTTCTTCTCTCTCTTTCTCTCTCCCTCTTTCTCTGCCCCCTCCATCCCTAATTGGTCCCTTGCTTCCCTGGCTCAGATCCTTTTCATGTCCCTTCGCCTCCTCGGGCTTCTGCTCTTCAGACACCTGGCGCTGGCAAAAGTTGTCAAGATGAATTTGGATCTCGCATGTGGCAGCTTCCTCAACAAGAGCGCAGGTCACGCAGCGGCGGTGCACGGCAGAGCCGTGCTCGTGACACATGCTTGCGTCGAAGTGCACGTGGTGCAATGAGGCAAGGCATGTCACCTTATTCCCACATTCATTGTGGGGTTCTAATGATTAAGTGTGTCGCCCGGCACCTGCAGCGTGCTCTTCCGTCGCGCAAACATTTTGGACGCGCGCATGTTGACTTAAAGATCGCGCTCTTGCTCGAGACATCCTCAAAAAATCGACGCTTTCTTTTTGAAAATGAAATCTAAAAAAAAGGAGACATCGCCTTTAGAGTAGTCTCGCTAGGGGGGGTCGTTTCGAATTGGTTGCGCTGCTGATTTTCAAAACCGCGCTCCCGCGCGAGACATCCTCAAAACTTTGCCTTTGTCGGACTTTCTACAATAAAGTATGAAAAATTGCGCTCCCGCGCGGGACAATTCGATTTTTGTGGAGCCTCTGAACATCTTCGTTTCTTCCAAAATCGCGCTCTCGTTCGAGACATCCTCAAAAAAACCATGTCTTAATGTCGATGACGGATCCAACAGAGAGGCGAGATTGCCTTTACTAGGGGGGTCGAGATCAAATTGGTCGCGCTCCGATTTTCAAATCGCGCTCCCGCGCGAGACACATCCTCAAAATTCCGGATTTGCGTTTTCAAAAATTGCGCTCCCGCGCGAGACAATTCGATTTTTTTGACGTGCTGATCATTTTCGTATCTTCAAAAATCGCGCTCTCGCTCGAGACATCCTGAAGATTTCATCGAATTATCTTCGATCAAATCGATCAAAATTGCGCTCCCGTGCGGAGCATTCGGAAATTTTGATGATTTATCTTCAAAAAATGGCGCTCCCGCTCGAGACGTCCTCGAAATTTCGTCGATGCATCTTGTCAAAAGGGAAGTTCTTGGGGGAGCGTTTTGGTATAGGATTGGTAGATTCGTCGGATTCATCGTTCAAATTTTGATCGTTTAAGGAACGATTTCTATACCAATTCTATACCAAACAGCTTCGCTCAAGGTCGTCCTCTTTAACCAAAATCGCGCTCCCGTGCGGAGCATCCTGAAAATTTTGAATCGCGCTCCCGTGCGGAGCATCCTGATAATTTTGATTAAAATCGCGCTCCCGTGCGGAGCATCCTGAAAATTTTGAAGAACATCGCGCTCCCGTGCGGAGTATCCTGAAAACTTTGTACAAAATGGCGCTCCCGTGCGGAGCATCCTCAAAATTTTGATTAAAATCGCGCTCCCGTGCGGAGCATCCTGAAAATTCTGAAGAAAATCGCGCTCCCGTACGGAGCATCCTCAAAATTGTGTAGAACATCGCGCGCCCGTGCGAAGCATCCTCGAAAATTTCATTGACTCTTCGTTCAAAATCGCGCTCCCATGCGGAGCATCCTGAAAATTTTGAGAGAAATCGCGCTCCTGCGCGGAGCATCCGGAATATCCTTGGACGTCTGCTCGGTGCTTGAGAAGATCTGAGCGATGCTTGACGTGACGCGGGCGGTGCTGGATGAGATCCGGGTCGCGAGCTTGGTTGTTTTCGTTTTGTTGTTGCGATTTTGCGAGGTAGGTCTGACATGTTTTTGACCGCCGAGGATTGGATTCGCTCGAAAGCTGCCGAAAAGAAGTCTGCGTCAGTGCATGGCTCTTGGGATGGCAGTGTTGTGCCGCGTTGGGCTCCCAGACCATGTGTGTGCACTTGTTGAGCAAATCCTTTTGTATGATGTCTGCGTTAATGTCTATTGTATCTGCCTGGAGGCGTTACCCGAAGCGCATCGAGTGGAGCACGAGCACTGTATGTTTCTGCATTGTGTGGGCCGTGTTTTTTTTGGGGATTTGGACTCATCGTGGTTTGCCAGCTTTTGGCTCAAGTATAGTGTTAGCAGATTCACGTCTCGTGTTTCATTCGGCGGACGCTTCGTGCTCGACGTTGCTCCCAGATGGTGGACACTGCATCGGCCCTGTGTGATGCTTGCCGGGGAGATGCATTTCATCATCTCGCTAAGGATAGGAAAATGCGCAAGCGCGTGTCCGTGTTGTCCGGGGGAGATCTTGACCACTATTTGCTTCTGTATGCCTGCTCAGGAAACTGTCGACCGTGCGTGCAATTTTGGGTGGGCAGAGGCGCTGACTTGAATCGAGGCACTGAGCATCATTCAGATTGGACTCCGTTGGAGTGGGCCTTGTGGTCGGACGCAGGTTGCGAGATCATTGCCTTGGTGACACGGATGAACTCTGTGGCCCTGATACTGATTCTGATGGCTGTATATTGGAACGAGCGCAAGCCGCCGGGGTGAGTGATGATGTCTTGGAGCTCTTGCGGCCGGCTGGTACAAATCGTTGTCGTTCTTCGTCGTCTGAGCAGGAGTTGCAGGTTGGAGCAGGGACTGCGGAGACTGTGCCGCGCAAGGATGGCGTCCGGACATTCGGTGATTTCTGGCTTCGTCACGCACACGGGGGGCAAGACTTGCGCAGCTCTTCTTATTTGGACCGCGTGCGCTTGTCTGGAGATGTTCGTCGCGTTCGAGAGTTGTTGGACAGGAACAACGCTTCCGTGTTTATACTGCGACCGGATGTCCGCGGCGCTCATCTTTCGGATGCGTTGGAGGACTTCACTTCGCAGGAGTTCGTTGCATCCTGCGGAGCCGCAGTCGCGGCGCATGGCTGGTTTGGGGGAGGTCTTGCGGATTCTCGAAGACCGGGAGATGTGGGAGGCCGAGCAGTCTGCGTGCAGGAGGATGGATGAGCAGGACCAGCAGCTGCGAAGGGCGAGTTTGGTCGGTATGGGTCACAGCGTTCGTGGTGTTTCTCCTTGGTCCGCTCAGAGTCGGTTCGTTTCTGCTGCTCTTCAGGGCTCCGTTGAAGAAGTAGAACGGATGTTGCGAGAGTCTTCGGCGGCAGACGTGAACCCTTTAGTGTCTCTGCATTCGGCTGGCTTACCGCATCATCGTGGAGTTGCTCATTGGCCGTTGCGCGCCTTGCTGGCTGCCAGTTTTGAGCTTTCGTCAGATTCCGGCCTCAAGGAAAAGCTGCGGGTCATCCGGCAAGTGTTGATGGAATGGGAGGGGAAGCTTGCGCAACTCTTCCACCATGCGGTGGTTATGTTGGGTTCAGGGCAGCGTGAAAGGTTGAAGCTGCTGCTTCGGGAGATTCGTTGGTGCAAGGGCACTCAGTTTAATCTGCACGCGATCCTCGAAGGTGTGTGGCAGGCGCGCGCGACCCGGGATGGGGAGCTGCGCTGGATCTACCCTGGTACTGGAACTCGGTGGCTGCAAAACCACCGCAAATACCGTGGTACTGGAATCCGGCGCCTGCAAAACCCCTCGGCGGCTGCAAAACCGCGCAAACACCGTGGTACTGGAATTCGGCGGTTGCAAAACCACCGCAAATACCGTGGTGCCGTGGTACTGGAATTTGGCCTGCTCTCTTCCCGGTACAGGCCAGCTATTCTCGACCTTGTGAGCCATAGACACCATCCTAGACATTAAATTCTAAGCTATAAACCCACCACAGCACTTACACCGCGCACACACCTACACCGCGGACATGCACCACAGCAACTGCACCGCACTGACGACCGCAACACCTAGAACACTGCCAGATACGCGCCCCTTGCTAACGTGGAACTGATTGCTTTCGGGATAATCGGGGTCTAGCATACCATCGTACTGGAATTCGGGGGCCATGTTCCTCGAATTCAGGGGTTGCAAATTAATGCAATTCTCTTGGTCATGATTCTATAGTTGTTTGTCTGCATCTTCCCGATTTTCGCGGCAGGCTTGCCGTTTGAAAAGCTTGCTGGAGCACATGAGCGGCCGCGGCAGGAAGAGGCGTGCCTTGTCGGACATCGGCGCCGTCACTGCGCACGGCGTGGGCTGGAGCGCGCGTGTTTACATCGATGAGTGCAACGTTTTGGGGCCGCTGCGTTCTTGCAAGGAAGATGCCGAGGCCGATCTAGAGAGGCCGCGAGCTGCATCTTCTCGGGAGCAGCTTCGTTTGGCAGCGCAACGCATGAAGCCTGGCTTTGCCAGTCCGGTGTCTCTAGAACTTTGCGGCATCAACGTCCAGTATCCTTGGAGTCCGCTCATCCTGGCCGGGGTGAAAGCCGTCGAGGTCCGCAAATATCGCTTGGCAGGTACCCAGTTTCATTGCGGGACAAGATTTATTTCTCATCGAGACTCCTGGCCAGGGTTTCACGCAGGATGCTGACTGCGCCATCGACGTTGGTGCACCGCCTGAAAAGGCTCGCGTCATTGGCGTGGTTCGAATCAGCGGCTGTTTTCAGTTTGCCGATAGTTTGACCTCTTTCGGGACCAGACTCAAATCACGTCGGGTGGCAGGTACGATTGGTTGCATCTGGGTGACGGTCCGGTCTCCGGCTGGGTGGTGGGCAACACGAAGGAAGCGGAACCCACGCCGGCCGACTCGAAGACAATGCTCGGCAGGCAGCGTCCACGTTCGTTGACTGTGAGCTTCCGCGCTGTGTAGCAAGGTCTCCCAAGGAACTGGATACGCAGTTTATGGATCTCTGTAAGTCATATGTGCTCGCACGGTTCTTGTAGACGTTGCACGTTAGATCCGTGATGGAAAGACGTGCAATTTTCCTGTCGCACTCTCCAGGTGCCAGACTGAGTAGGACGCTAGCTGCAGCAAAGCGGCGCAGGGTGGTATCGCTTTCTTTCTCTGCCATGAGCCCGATCCGAGATGGAAAGGGCAGCGACTTGGTGTCTGTAGTTCCGCGGAGACTGTAACCGGATTAAACGGGCCAGTGACTGGATGATGTTCACACTGCTAGAATTTCAAGTGAGCCATGAACCTTTTTTTGGTCATCCTGTCAGGAACCTGCTGGCGTGTCTGAACATATGGCTTCGAGCTGAGTTTCATTGTTTTGTTGCCCAGCTGTGCGCTTTGCAACCCACACTCAGGTGTTTGCTCACTGAGCTGATCATTCCGGCTGCACAAACGACCAGCTCATTCTTTTCAATATACGGTGTTCTTGTTTTTTCGCGTTCGCGTTGCAAGTCTCGCATTGTTCGGAACGAGGTTTCGCCCTGTCGTCGCTATCCGTATCATCGCGCGGTAACATTTCGTCTTCTTATATATATATATATATATCTTTTAAATATCTCCTCCTTCCTTCGCCGGGCGACGCTATCCTAACAATATATCACGTAAATTTGGGTTAAACTACACATGTGGGGTTCTCCGGTCCTTGAATTTGGGACGCATTGTTCACAGCCCACTGACGTGCTAGCAGCCCCACGTTCTGTGAGGCTATGGCCTCACACAGGCCGATGGCCGCCGCAAGGCGGACAGTGACCTCTACGAAGGGGACGAGGCAGCGGGGAGAGCGTTATGCTTTGCTACAGGAGAGGCGTCTGCATCAACCCGGGCAAGTGAGCCGTCAGGACGAGAGCTCAGAGCTGAACGACTTGAGCCTCTTCCTCGGACCGTCCGTGCTTGCTGAAGATGAGGGAGGCACCAGCCGCGCACGCCAGCAGAGACAGAAGCATACTTGTCAGGACCTCCCGGAAGCGCAAGTGGCCTTGGCGGCAGGCGCATCCGAATTTTGTTCGAATTTCCAAAGAACTCGAGCAAGCAGGCGGCACGGCTGACTGCTGTCGGCATCAGCCTGCCGGGGCAGCCCGCTGCGGCAATGAGATTTGTTTCACCGCAATCACCAAGCTGCGAACTCTTTTGCGAAGCGCGCTTCCGCTTTGCGGCGCGCGTCCGCAGCTTGCTGCGCCAGGCATTCCCAGGCGCGCTGGGGGTCTTGACGGAGAGCCTAACATTTTTCGGATTGTATTACTTTGCTAGATTGACTGGCCTCCTCCTTGGCCTTTTTTCCTTCTTAGCTGCCTTCTTACGCCGCTTGTCCTCGCGACGCCTGCTCCGCCCGCCTTTCCGCCCTGGCTTTGGCTTTGGCATGGGCTTATTGCTACGCTTAATTATACTCTTAAGGGCAAAAAGTCACGGACTCTCACTTTTTGCTTCTAGCGGTGAAAGGTGGGGCAAAAGTCAGGCTGCACGGCAGCTGATCCTGCACGGATCTGTCGCTTACTAAGCGTGAGACACCTGGCCCCCTTTAGGGATGTGTCTACCCTACGAGGTACCACACTGGGGGTCCACAGATATGTACAATCAAAACTACGCAGACAGGCACTGTCATTGACAAGCTACTATGCCTATGTATACGCAAACATGGAGAGTCCATGTGTGTAGCCTACGTGGCTCAACAAGGCACCTGTGTGCCTGAACACGGTTCCTTTCTGGAAACGTTCCAGGGTGTGGTGGGTGGGCACAAAAACTACAAGCTTGAGAGCTGAGATGACTATAGCATAGCATGTTTGCACGGCAACAGCATGTTTGCACGGCAACCCTTTGCAAAACATCCGTTTCCAGGCTACGAGCCTGTGGCAAACGTTGCCTACGTCATTCAGCTCTCAATAAAGCTCAATCACGCACGCGTGGGGGAAGCTTTTGGCTGCGCAGCGTCCGTGCAGTTGGCCGCAGCTTCTACCACCAGAGCAGCCTCAAGTAAGCCGTTCCCTTACTCCACACTGCGACGCATTTCACGCAAGCCTGGACATCTTGCGCTGAGGCCAGCGCATCCACCTCCTGGTTGAGAATGGAGCGTGCGCACGCCCATTGCACAGCCAGTGCACTTGGCACGTAGCTTTGCAGGCACACGGCGCAGCGACAGCCACGGATGGCGTCGCAGGCCTGATGGGAACGATTGAAAGACGATAGCTCAAGCGTCATCTCGTGGGGGACCCTGCCAGGCTGGGGTACGGTCCTGATGCGCGGTGCGCCGGGTTCTTTGGCCTCATATTTCCAGGTCGGAGCAGCAGCTGCAGTCAACTGGGAATTTGACTTATGCTTCTTGAATTAGTTCAACATTCTGCAGGCCCTGGCAGGCCCCCGCCTCTACGAGGCCAGATGCCCCACCCTGCCCCTTGCACATCTGCTTCCTTAGAACGGAAAATCAAAATATCAAGACTCCTCTCTCCTGCTTGCAGCCTAATCTACGTGGGGTACTCCCCACGCAGCTTCTGCCCTCACTGACGGACCTTTCCTTTTGTTTGTTTGCTTTCATAGACAATGAGTCATGGTAAATAAAAAACAGAGCCTTACCTTGCTTGCAGTCTGCTTGCTCAGTTCATGAAACTCACGAAGGCACGCAAAATATGCAACTGCATGCTGGTGTCTCGCCGGTGAACTGTGGGACATGTTAAACAAGGGGGTTCACGCAAGTCAAGTTAGAAATCTCAACCATGCTCTTTGTTTGCGAGCTTGCTTGTTCTTTGAACGCAAGCTCCGCAACACCTGAAAAATAAAGCGTGAAGCCGGATGTCCCACCACTCGTACACACAAGTGAATTCGTTTTTGCAGACCCCGGTGCGCCCCCGCCTCGAGGAGGCTAGACGCCTGGCCTGCTCTACGCGGGGCACTCCCCACGCAGCTTGCCCTCGCTAACGGATCTTGCCTTTCGTATGTTCGCTTTCACAGGCAGCAGTCACGGTGAAACAAAATATTGGAACTTCACCTCTTCCTTGCACTCGCTTCTTCCATTGTCATGAAAATCACGCAGGCATGCAAAATTTGTAACTGCATGCGTGTGTCTTTACCGCGGGACATGCCTCAACTCAAGTTAGGAATCTTGCACCATGCTCCTTGCTTGCGAGCTTGCTTGTTCTTTGCATAGTTGGGTCGCATACACAACAACGGCTGAAGATTCCGCGTAAGGCCTTCCAAGGGAGTCTCTGGAGCCTCCTGGGGGCTTCCCACATACCATTGACAATTTAGGATTCGGGGTTTGGGATTTAGGACGTAAGATTTAGGATTAGAAGAATTAGTTTCAAGGGCCCTGACGCCTCTTATGCAGCTGTCAAAGGGGGTACCAGGCCGTACAGGCCTTTTAGTATATTTGATTACCCTAAAGCCTGAGCCCTCATCGTAGACCACTTGTTTTGGATTTAGGATTTAGGGTTTAGGGTTTGGGATTTAGGATTTAGGGTTAGGGTTTAAGACTTAGGGTTCAGACCTCCCGGGGCCTTTTCAGGGGGCTTGTCAGAGGGCCTCTAAGGGGCTCTCAAAGGCCTTCAAGGAGGTTCAGGAGGCGTAGGCTTTTGTTTTCTGTCGGACCTTCTGCTGCAGAAATCTCCCGGAGATGCATCACTGCACAGTCCTGTACGTGAGCAGCTAGCCCCCAACTCCCAAACTGGTTGGCCACGAAAAATCAGCCTGTCTTCTTCACCATTCGCAGCATTAACTGCACCGACGGCTTACTCAGACTCAGGCCCAATCTGCAACACGCAAGTTCTGAAGTAACATTCCCTCAAACAGGCAAGAACGGCGGTCAGCAACATTTATAGTCGCACCCCCATCCCTGCACAGCACATCAGGTCAGCTTGTTACCAGCTCACAACAGCCAACTCTTCAGATTGGTCTGCACAAAGCCTTCAGTAGAACTTGCTGCAGAATTTTCACTCCCGGAAAGGCCGCCATCACCCGCGTTCGCTCCACTCACCACTGCGTTCTCCGCATTCTCCTCGATCACCTGCTCCTCCAGCTCACAGACATCGAGCTGGGTGCATTGGGCAACATTGTCCGCCACAACATGAATGGAGGGGTACGCCGCTCCTCCCGAGGATTGTGAGTCATCTGAGTGATCCGGAGCGACCGAGGTGCTACCACCTTTCCCTCCAACGCCAACGCCACCAGGTTCACCAACTCCACTGACCTGGCTATCGATGTCAACGGTGGCTCCTGGCCTCAGTGCAGTGTTGGGCCACGAACTGGCCGGCATTTCCGAGCCCACCAATCCTTCCGCCGCACTGGCTGTGCAGCTTCCTGCGCCGTTTCCGCCATGACTGCCGCCAGGACCATCTGCTCGTCAGCCTCCTTAGCCGCTTCCTCAATGTCCGTCTTCTTCATGTAGAACTTGGCCAGCAGCCCATAGCCCCATTTTCCACCCACCATGCCGTCCGTGATGTGGCCTGCCATTACTGGTCAAACGTGCCCTTTCCCAACTCCGAGCTCATAAACCATTCCATTTCTGACTCATCCAGCACCCTTTGCTGAGCGGGTAGACTCTCACCCTCCACGATTTCGGTTGAAGCACTGGATGCCCTGGATGCCTCCCTCAGTGCATTAGTTTCCGGATCATCATGTGGCAGGATGGCAACCTGGTAGGTCACGGACTCCCCCTCGCGCACCACCGTGGGAAAAGTTTCCTGTCTCACCGACCCCATCTGCGCTCTCTACTGGACATGGATTCTCACCTTTTTTGCTGGTGGCTCCGGAGACGAACTCATTGCTTCCTGCATCTCGGCTTCTTCACGTTCCCGGAGAATCGCCGCACGGTACTGCAGGAGTTGCATTTCGTCAGCTTTTTGTTCAGCTTCCGTCAGAGGCCTTGTTCCATCAGCCAGCTTGGCCATGGGTACTCTGGTCCCCTCTGCCGTCAGCTCCTGGCTGTCCTCAAC